AATCGTTGGTTCACAACCTAGATGGAATTGAACAACCCATCGAAACGGTTGTAGTGTCAACCGTACGGTTTGTCTTGACCGATTAGTTACGCTAGTACATTTATGTATTGAACAGGATCCCAGAGAGGGATGTCCGTTTTATACTAATCGTCGTAAACGAACTAGGCCTCAGTTAATTATTGCGTGCTCTTAACCCGTAAGATATTAAATAGACATGTGCACATAACTGTTGTTGCTTTGATTCTTTGGGTGAGATCCAAGCCGGGTCGACATACTTAATGAATTGGGTAATAACATTATGTGTTCGATGTGATATTAGGATATTTACGGTCACCATGTGCGTTAGTATGATGATGTCCCCGAAGTGAGTTCATGAAGGAATATTATGCTAAACCCTGCAGGTGGATTTATTCCGGCATAATATGAATGCTATGAGTGAGCGCTAGTTTCGGTAATATAATATATTAATTAATTCTTGATTATTAGTGATCGAATTAATTAATGGACATTATATCTTAAACATGGAGAGGTAAATCGGATAATTATAATAAGGAGTTTCAAATGTAATTTGGGATAGGTGAGGGGAGTGCAATAACATTATTGTGGTGAACTTTAATATTATTAATATATTAATTGTGGGGTTGCTCCACTGTATTAATATATTAAAAGCCCTTATCCTATTCTCCTTAGGGTCCCTACTGTAGCTCTATATATACAGCATTAGGCTCTTGGAAGAGAAGAGACAATCCCATCAGCTCTATATTTCGTCCGCCCTCTCTCTCTCTCTCTTTCCAAGGAGTTCTTCTATTTCTTGTGTTCCACTGATACAAGATCTAGAAAGCTGTTTGAGAATACAGTAGAAGATCTTAAGGTATATAGAGATTCCAATCATACATCCAAACCGGAGACCAAAACCAAAAAGTGACCATACCACGACGACCAGGACGACGAGACGAAGAGATCGCCGTCGAGATCGCCGCCGCACGCCGCCGCACGTGCCCACACGCGCCGCCGGGAGTTCGCTGCTGCTGGGAGTCACTCGCGCGCGTGAGTGCGCCTGGAAGGTTCATTTTCTGATCGATTAACGCCGTTGACTTCGCCGTGACGTCAGCTTTCCGGATTGGTCAAGTTTGTTCGATTTCGAGAAGATTTGATTTGCGGTCAACTGTTCGGGCCAGCCAGATCTACATAAATTTTAAGCAGTAAGTTTTCTTCATCAAACCTTTAGATCCGCTGCGCATAGGTTTATGTTGAATGTTTGTCTGTGATTTGTGCATATCGAGATCCTCATGGGTTCCAACAATTGGTATCAGAGCTTGAGGTTAATCCGTTATGTACAAGATCTGGATTAAACTGCTTATATTGTTTATGTGTGCTCAAGCGCAGCCATATATATTGGATTATATGCATAACTTGGTTTTGCAGGAAGTAGTTAATCCACTATTATGGCCACCCTTTTATGTCCTTGTGCTTAATTGATGGTTGGTTGTTTGGTTTTAAATTTGTTTTAAAGCCTCGGGATTGTCGAGGAATTATGGATGAATGCTTGTATTAATTGCCCGGGGGTTGACCTGATAGTTTAATTAATTAGTAGATGGCATGTACATCCACTCGTTGGATCTAGGAATCGATTTATGTAATTTTGTAAATTATATTTTTCGTATTGTGATCGACCGTTGGAGACCGGGCCTTCACAAAGATCCACAGAAACTCGACAAAGCAAAGAAGAAACCGGAGCCGGGAGCCAAGGCTGGTCGGCGCGGACGCAGTTTCTACTGGTGGAGGTTTTGTGGAACTTGCAGTACAAGTCAACCGGGATTCTACTGCAGTGGGAACTCGACAAAGCAAAGAAGAAACCGGAGCCGGGAGCCAAGGCTGGTCGGCGCGGA